ATAATTTCAATTATATGGTATTTTGTGACTGGAGTCCCAGGTAACAGACTTTTGAATTATGGCAAACTGTTTGTTGATTTTGTCTGAAATTTTAAAACGTCATTCCTATTTATTATTGTCTATACATGTCCCTGAAACTAAATAACAAAATGACTGGTAGACAGTAAATAAATAAGATTTCATAGAACCAATAAGATAGATAATGTTATGTTATTCAATGCAGAAAATAGCTACAGATTTGGTGGCCAAATGAAAAAATGATAATTTAATAGTAATCAATCCTAACTATTTATGAGTTTACTGGACCAAAGAGAAATTGTAAAAACTGGATTTTGTATAACCAGTCAATCTTAAATAATAAAACCTGTAAGAATATGAAGGCCTTCTCTCACAGTTACATATATTCTTAAGCAGCATCAAATACAGAATTGGATCATATATAGGATATTAACTCAAAAAAACGCAAGAGTAAGATCATATGAAAAGCAACAGGAAACAAAAAACCAAGGAGTAATATAAGAAGAGTTAGTCAGGAAACAGTACAAAATGTGGCATCTGTTCATGAATAGCAGAAGACATTCTTTATACACACACACACACACACACATATATATATATATATAAATACGGTAGAACAATATTACTAAAATTTTCAAGGTAGAATTGGTACTTACGAAAAAATATACACAATTTCCATAATACAATAGAGTTTAGATTCAATGATACCATTTCTTTGGGGGGTATGAAGACAAGAAGACAGATGTATCACTTCATTATTAAACATAAAAGAATTAAAAGGAGTGCTTTTTAGCATTATCACTTTATGCACACACAAACAGAACCACCAAACTTTGAAGTTTCCTTAATAAAAATAATCAAACCAAATAATCTTGATAATTCTATGTTTAAACATGCGTCTAGAAAATTCATCAATGAAGGTAACAAAATACTTATGCCCTAAAACAAAAGTGACATGACTTGGAACCCATATATTAGGAAGAAAAACATCCAAAGGAGCATGAGCTTGTGACTTTGACACCGTAACAAAGCATACATGTTTCGAAGCTAACAAGCTCAACACTCCAAGTACTATACTATACATGAGGACCGATAAGGAACCATTTTCTTTGACTTCTTTTATACCCAAATGACCCAGCTAATAGTGAGGAAGGTGGCAGATTCTATAATGGTAAAATCAATTGAGGATGAAGATTAAGGGTTCCTACCCCATAAACATATATATAAATAAACACTCCGAGATAAAACAAAAGCAGTTCTTATTACAAGAATGTAAAAACTATAAAATATGGGCAAATGAAGTGTAAAACATGCAAGGTTGGTCGAGACTAAAAATTCATTAGTGGTCACATGACAACTTAAAGTATTGTGGATTTATTTTGAATCTTGACTATTTAATATGAGCCAATGATCTTTATTTAATTTATCAATGTTTTTTTAAGAAAAAAAACAGTGGAAATTGTTCTAATTGAAACAGTCTAGAATGGGCTGAAAAAAAAAAATTGAAGCATCCCAAAACCAGAAAATAACCGGTCAAACTGGTCCAAAAACAGCTTAAACCAGTTTTTATTTTTTTTTTCAATTTTTTAAATTTTAATCTGTAACATTTTTAAGATAAATAAAAAGATATATTTTAAGATTTCACATGAGTATAAATTATTTTCAATTATTTTAAAATGTAACGTAGTCATTCATATAACTTAAAATTGAAGATCCTGATTTCTTATAACTTTTATGTTATTTTATTACACAAAATATCACAGATAAAAATTTTATTATTACCAGTTCAAACATTGAATCTTGAAATCAATGTTTTAACCGGGTCAATAACCAGTCCTCTTTAAGAACACTGATATATATTTTTCTGGTTTATCATTCTTGAGTAACTCGCATTCATATATAAATATGTGTGTATACCGAAGATTGTTTCAAGGTTTAAATATGTTTTTATTCTCTTAAAATAATGCAATGGTTTCTTTAGTCCCTACAAAAGTTTCATTCATTTTGAACAACTGTATTTACCAAAAATGATGGGATTTTCATGTTATTACTATCCTGTGAGGGACTAAGACTAAATATGTCAAGTGTAGGAACTAAAAATTAATTTAAAATGGACTAAAAGTATGTGATATTTTCAAGAATAAAAAAAAACATTGAACACATCTTTGTTTTATTTTTAACCATTTATTTTACATATATAGTTGAGATTCAGTCCCTCTACGCTTTCATCCCTTTTCTCCTATTAAAATATGTATAAGAGCATAAATAACAAGTACATTTGTCATTTTGAAAATGTGAGAACTATAAATTTAGATCATATAATGATACACGGATGGTCAAGATCAAAAATTAGTCAGCGACCACATAAGAAAGTCATATATATGATAAAGGATATTTCATTATTCTCATGTCTCATACCTGCATCTTTTTCAGTATAATGTTGTGAATGATCTTCAATGGGCTCAAAAGCAGGAGAAAATATTGTTTCTAAGCTTGCTGTACAGGGGTTGGTTAGTTCCTAGAAAAAAGAGAACGAATTGTCAGTTGTGCATGATAAAAAAGTTCAAATCTCACGGATACAGGTATAGAGTAATGATTGACAAGATATGAACATTAGCATAAAAATCTACTATTATTTTTAAAATGCCAAGGAAAAAATATTTAGCTTCCATATTAAATTGAAGCATCACATCCCGGACCAATCATCCTTTATTCTTCTCTCAATGTGTTCAGATATCATATGGCATAACATAACTTTTAAACAGGAAAGCTATGTTACGCTCAAAACTTCTAGAAGTAGTTCCTCAATGCTCTCACTATAACCAAAACTAAAGCTTCTAGAAATATGCTTTAATTAGGAAAAGACATAATTTATTTATCTGGGAGAGAATGATATATATAATATAGCACGGATATATCAGTATAGTTACAGTACATACCCAAATTAAGTTGACTACGGGGTGCTTTCCAACCATCAAAAGTCAGATAACATTTCTAAAATCCTAGACGTGTTTGGTATTCCACAATAATTCAATAAACTTATTCTTGATTAACTAATTTTTTTAAGTCTAAACTAGTTCGAACAAATCCAGGATGTGGTTATTTTATTTGTAAAAAATTATCTATAAATACTTTTAGGAGAGTAAAATAATAATAAAATATTAATGAAACAAGGTTTACCACAAGTAAAAATTACTTTACACACAAATTAAAAATATGAATTTATAGAAGCTATATGAGAGAGTTTCTACAAATTACTTATGCATATGCTAATTTTAGCTTATAGAAAAACACATTTCATTTTTCCTTCTTATTTTTTTCCTAAAAGTGTTTATGGAGAAGTTTGTCTAAATAGATCAAAAGTAAGTTGTTTTTAAAATAACCAGTGTATGGTTTTAATTTATTCCTCTCCCTGTTTCTCATTTGTCTACTAAACTAGTATGTAAAAGAAAGATACACAAAGCATTGACAAAAAAGAAAGTATTAAACAAGAAGTGAACTTCCAAAAAACAATTGTCTAAAGCCAATAAATCAAACTCTACCATTTTTCCCAGGACAGAAGAACAAACAGAAAATTGGTGCTCTGATTCAGACTTCTCTTTATCCAGAAATTCTTTGCTGTCAACAGATTGATCGCATGCTATGTCTTTCGGCTGTGTCCTTGAGGAAACTACAGAGAAAGAGCAAGAACTATCAAATGTGAAGAATTGAAATGAAATAATTTAAGCACAATCCCATGAATCAGGAGATTGTTAGTCAGAGAGTAAAATGCCCATTATTGCAGCAGAGTAACAGATTGTGTAGAAAACAACAGCAAGAAATGAATACAAAGTTCTATAGTTGGCCCACTCTACTCAGTCAAAAGATCAAGAACTAGTTCTGTTATACCAAATGAATCTTACCATAACAATTTTATCTGTTCCATAATCTAACACTAAAACTTTTAGAAAACCCCAAATAATGGTTTAATAGCTGTACATTAATGATGCAGTACAGCTGCACTTTGGAAAACTATGATCAAAGATTCCAACACATTACAAATAGAACAAATTTATGACAATGAAGAGTCCTGAAGATTACAGTTCAGAAATTCATAAAGGGCTTACCAGAAACGAAAATTTTAAATCTCAGATTAAAAATCTAGATTGGTATCACAGACAACAATCTTTCGTACATCCTCATTTGTGTGGCTCAGAAGCATCAACTTAGATGACCATGGAAAAGACTGGTAATCCACATTATCTAGGTAAAGACTACCCTTACGGAAGTAAAGTAGCTTCATTTTTGGATCTCTTTGCTTTTGTCATGTCTTTCTTTTTCTCATTTTTTATTTATAGCAAGGATTTAGATCTTCTCACCTGAATTTTCCATATGACTATGCCATGTGATGGTTAACATTACATAGGACAATTTATTAGTCCCTATGTAGGGGTGTAGCTTCCATTGCAGGAGTTCCTTAATTTCTTCACTTTCTCACATGACATGGTCAATTGAAAAACTAACATGAGAGAATCTACATCCAAAGGAAATTTTGAGATGTTCTTAAATTTGTCTTTTCTAGTATAATGCCAAAAGTAATGTATTTCACACATCACTTGTTTTCTTAATTAACAAACAAGTGAAGATAATAATTGATCAGGTGGATCAGCATGAATTGTTTTGTAACTTGCAAATTTTCATAAATTATGAACAATGAAAAGTCACTACTTATTCATAATAAAGAAAATCTCAATATCATGAATTAATGTGATCTCTTGTCCACACATGAAAGATTAAATCAGTAGCATATTATATAATATATGTTAAAAATAGCAAAAAGGTAAGATGAAGAAGAACAACAAAGTTAAATGCGAAAATCATTGATAAAGACACTGATTAGCAAAATAAAAAGGAAATCAAATAGATACTAAGAAAAAAGTCTCAAACAGATTGGAAACTGGCTCCTACCATCTAGGTAAGTAGTGTCTATTTCAGCCTTCTGTGTAGAGATCATGATTTTAGAACATGGGCTTTTGGCGATAACTTTTGATTTCGAACATACATGAAGGTCCTTTGTTTCTGTTAAACAGCTCACGCTTACTTTGCTCTTCATTTTTAGGGATGGCATTTGATTTGTGCTTACAGTAGGTGCAACAATCTTGCACTGGGCACATCTGTTGGGAACCAAAGTCCCTCTAGACAGTCAAAGCAGCAGAGGCTGTTGCATAAAAAGAGAATAAAAATCTAAATTTCCAATTATATAATAGACAGTAGGAAAAATAAATAAAGAATTTTTAATAAAAAGAAGTCACACAAAAAGCAAGCAGCTTTTTATATCAGAATTTAGAAGCATGCATTTGCCAATCAGAAACTAAAAGCCCAAGTATATAAGACTTTCAAAACATAGAGTCCACAAAAAATAAAATACCTCACTAAACAATTATTTCCCAAAATACAAGCAAGCCTAAAGGAGATCACAGTAGTAGTTTACAATTGCTTACACAATGTTAAAATCAACTTACAAAACATTAGATTCAAGTTTGAATTAATTAATCTAACCTATATTCATAATTTTCCAGGCTCCACCCTTGAGGCGATCATATTAAGGAAGTTCAAATTTAAGTTCAAATTTCTTTCATATCCATCTTTTCGTTCTTAGGATAATAATTACTCACCACAATAGCCTAATTTATAAGAACTAAAATTACTTAAATCAAAGAAATCAAAAACATAATCTCTTCCTGAGTTCTAAAACCTGACTAGTAAATCCCTATTTTACATTCTAAAGAAAAATCTCTATGACCATTTTCTATGGTTGCATGTTTCCAGTTATAGTTATTTTCTAATCGCCAAAAGAATTTAACCTGAACTCCATGACCTCCAAAACCAAAAGCCTTTAAAAAGTCAAAACCCAAAACCCCAAGTCTCAAAATACACACGAAACTCATGAATTGACGCCTCAAATCGGAAGTCAACCCGAAAATATTCCCAGCAAAAACCAAGCAAATCACAATTGCCACACATGCAGACCCAAAAACCGAACCACAGAAAGATTCTCACCACAAATTGAAAACATAACAACCAAGTCTCAGCTTCCACTTACACACCAGCATAACTAACAAACAACTGCATGACCAAGAAACAGTTTCTGAAAAAAAAAATTATGAACAGAAAAGGACAAAAATAATTTACCTGAAAAAAAAAATGTGAAAGGGTGATTGAGAGTGAAATTGGAGAGGCGATTATTACCTGTGTGGTGGTGGCAACCGAACCAACCCTTAGTTTCTCTCTCTAAAATTCCATTTGGGTTAGGGTGAGAAAAGAGAGAGAAAGAGAATGGACAGTGTGAACCTTCAAGTAGTATATGTGTTGTTGGATGATGGTTCTGACGGCTGGGATGGGATCTGTGCATTCAACCGCTAGGAGAATGACGCGTGGCATAGTGGAACCAGCTCAATGTGACGCGTTGACACGTGCTATTTCGCGGAAAGAGAGGACCTTCATGGCGGGAGGGTAAAAAATTCCCCACTCACTCTATAAAAAGTGTCAGCCACGCGCCTCCTATTTGTTTGGTCCTTTTTCGTCACTTGTGCATAGTTGTTCAAGTTTGAAGTCAACTTTATCAGTTACAAATGAGTTATATATATATATATATAGAGAGATTGAAAGTATGTATATAAACTTGTAGGTGAAAATTGGAGGTGGATATCAATTATTTGAATTTGAATAGTATTACACTTTTTATTATAATTAGTAATATTTGTTTATTACACTTTAAGAAAAAATGACATAAACTTTAATTATATAACCTTACAAAAGTGCGATTTAAAAGAAAACATTATTAAAAACAACTCTTATAATATGACTCTTCATATCATTTTGAAGTGTTGGTGATTGACTCATAAGAACTGTTTTAGATGAAGGAATAACATTTGGTATACAATGATTTGATTATGAGTTCTATTGTATTAAATTAAAGAAGGGTGAAATTCAATAACATATTAAGGCACACTCCTGGAGTAGGTTAGTCAAACAGCACTTTTGAAGTAGGTTTAGTCAAACAAAATTTATATTTTCTTTCTTGAATAATATAGTTTTAACTAAATATATAAATGTGTATTTTCATTTAAGGGGTTATTTTCTTAAATTTATGGAAAAAATAAGATGTTTAAAATTATAATTAGTATCCAAATGTGTATTTTTAAAGAATTTGAATAATAATTTTTTTAATTTGATATTTTAATTAATGGACTATGTTATATAAATTAATATATTACTTTATATCATATTTATCATATATACAATTGTATAAAATAAAATATTGAAGTTATTTTATTACACACATGTTGTAATTATGGTTTTGTAATGTTCTCATATAATATTAAATAAATAAAATTTATATTTGATTGCGTACAACTTTCAATGAAATAGGAGATGAAATAGGAGAATAGTTCCACTTAACTAGAATTATCCATTTTATTTATAATCTGTCTATTGTGTAGCAATGACACAAATAGAGTTACAGTTCTGAATTATTTTATGAAAGCATACATGAATGAATATTCAAAAAGTTCCTTGTCATTTTAGAATATGTATTAGTCAGAAGAAGATTCTTTTTCTCTTTTTTTTTTCTAAGAATTTTTATAAATTACAATCTAAATCTTTATAAAAAGACGAAAATTTATGTCTCTTTTCAACCATTCAAAGAGACAAGGTTAGTTTAACCCCTTTTCCTACAACAGATATATATGTTTTATTCTCTTGAGTTCCACAACCCAAAGAAGGATAAGTTAATATTTACTTAATATGAAGGTCCTTTGTTTCTGTTAAACAGCTCACGCTTACTTTGCTCTTCATTTTTAGGGATGGCATTTGATTTGTGCTTACAGTAGGTGCAACAATCTTGCACTGGGCACATCTGTTGGGAACCAAAGTCCCTCTAGACAGTCAAAGCAGCAGAGGCTGTTGCATAAAAAGAGAATAAAAATCTAAATTTCCAATTATATAATAGACAGTAGGAAAAATAAATAAAGAATTTTTAATAAAAAGAAGTCACACAAAAAGCAAGCAGCTTTTTATATCAGAATTTAGAAGCATGCATTTGCCAATCAGAAACTAAAAGCCCAAGTATATAAGACTTTCAAAACATAGAGTCCACAAAAAATAAAATACCTCACTAAACAATTATTTCCCAAAATACAAGCAAGCCTAAAGGAGATCACAGTAGTAGTTTACAATTGCTTACACAATGTGAAAATCAACTTACAAAACATTAGATTCAAGTTTGAATTAATTAATCTAACCTATATTCATAATTTTCCAGGCTCCACCCTTGAGGCGATCATATTAAGGAAGTTCAAATTTAAGTTCAAATTTCTTTCATATCCATCTTTTCGTTCTTAGGATAATAATTACTCACCACAATAGCCTAATTTATAAGAACTAAAATTACTTAAATCAAAGAAATCAAAAACATAATCTCTTCCTGAGTTCTAAAACCTGACTAGTAAATCCCTATTTTACATTCTAAAGAAAAATCTCTATGACCATTTTCTATGGTTGCATGTTTCCAGTTATAGTTATTTTCTAATCGCCAAAAGAATTTAACCTGAACTCCATGACCTCCAAAACCAAAAGCCTTTAAAAAGTCAAAACCCAAAACCCCAAGTCTCAAAATACACACGAAACTCATGAATTGACGCCTCAAATCGGAAGTCAACCCGAAAATATTCCCAGCAAAAACCAAGCAAATCACAATTGCCACACATGCAGACCCAAAAACCGAACCACAGAAAGATTCTCACCACAAATTGAAAACATAACAACCAAGTCTCAGCTTCCACTTACACACCAGCATAACTAACAAACAACTGCATGACCAAGAAACAGTTTCTGAAAAAAAAAATTATGAACAGAAAAGGACAAAAATAATTTACCTGAAAAAAAAAATGTGAAAGGGTGATTGAGAGTGAAATTGGAGAGGCGATTATTACCTGTGTGGTGGTGGCAACCGAACCAACCCTTAGTTTCTCTCTCTAAAATTCCATTTGGGTTAGGGTGAGAAAAGAGAGAGAAAGAGAATGGACAGTGTGAACCTTCAAGTAGTATATGTGTTGTTGGATGATGGTTCTGACGGCTGGGATGGGATCTGTGCATTCAACCGCTAGGAGAATGACGCGTGGCATAGTGGAACCAGCTCAATGTGACGCGTTGACACGTGCTATTTCGCGGAAAGAGAGGACCTTCATGGCGGGAGGGTAAAAAATTCCCCACTCACTCTATAAAAAGTGTCAGCCACGCGCCTCCTATTTGTTTGGTCCTTTTTCGTCACTTGTGCATAGTTGTTCAAGTTTGAAGTCAACTTTATCAGTTACAAATGAGTTATATATATATATATAGAGAGAGAGATTGAAAGTATGTATATAAACTTGTAGGTGAAAATTGGAGGTGGATATCAATTATTTGAATTTGAATAGTATTACACTTTTTATTATAATTAGTAATATTTGTTTATTACACTTTAAGAAAAAATGACATAAACTTTAATTATATAACCTTACAAAAGTGCGATTTAAAAGAAAACATTATTAAAAACAACTCTTATAATATGACTCTTCATATCATTTTGAAGTGTTGGTGATTGACTCATAAGAACTGTTTTAGATGAAGGAATAACATTTGGTATACAATGATTTGATTATGAGTTCTATTGTATTAAATTAAAGAAGGGTGAAATTCAATAACATATTAAGGCACACTCCTGGAGTAGGTTAGTCAAACAGCACTTTTGAAGTAGGTTTAGTCAAACAAAATCTATATTTTCTTTCTTGAATAATATAGTTTTAACTAAATATATAAATGTGTATTTTCATTTAAGGGGTTATTTTCTTAAATTTATGGAAAAAATAAGATGTTTAAAATTATAATTAGTATCCAAATGTGTATTTTTAAAGAATTTGAATAATAATTTTTTTAATTTGATATTTTAATTAATGGACTATGTTATATAAATTAATATATTACTTTATATCATATTTATCATATATACAATTGTATAAAATAAAATATTGAAGTTATTTTATTACACACATGTCGTAATTATGGTTTTGTAATGTTCTCATATAATATTAAATAAATAAAATTTATATTTGATTGCGTACAACTTTCAATGAAATAGGAGATGAAATAGGAGAATAGTTCCACTTAACTAGAATTATCCATTTTATTTATAATCTGTCTATTGTGTAGCAATGACACAAATAGAGTTACAGTTCTGAATTATTTTATGAAAGCATACATGAATGAATATTCAAAAAGTTCCTTGTCATTTTAGAATATGTATTAGTCAGAAGAAGATTCTTTTTCTCTTTTTTTTTTTCTAAGAATTTTTATAAATTACAATCTAAATCTTTATAAAAAGACGAAAATTTATGTCTCTTTTCAACCATTCAAAGAGACAAGGTTAGTTTAACCCCTTTTCCTACAACAGATATATATGTTTTATTCTCTTGAGTTCCACAACCCAAAGAAGGATAAGTTAATATTTACTTAATAGAAGATGTTGAATAAAAAAAAAATAGGTTTGAAATTTAAATTAAGAAAAACTATAATCAATTGTTTTATGCATTTCATGAATTACATAAAGAAGAAAAAGTATTTCTTATTCAGACAATAGACTTAAAAGAGAGAATATATTAACTCAATTACAAGAGAGGAAAATGACAATTTGAAAATTGATATTGATGTTTTATAAATGATTTATGAAAATTTATTAGACAACAATAAATCAAAGTCTCAATAAAAAACTTATAATTGTGAGGATTATAAAAAACATGTAACAAATGTATCCTATCGACTGAAAAGCTAAAATTCACATTAGGGAGATCAAATTTATATGTACTCCTAACTTTACAAAAATATGTTATGGCCAAAGCTAGAATTGGTTTTTCATTTCAAAAGAAAAAAAAATAGATTTTTTTTTAACTTCGTAAAATCATTTATACCAGTGACTTGTTTTTATTATTAGAAAAAAGGATAATCCATAATTTTTTTTATAATAACTTTTTTTTATATTAGAAATTATTGTATATTTAATGAGAAGTATGTTTTGATCCCAAAGAAAATATCAAGAACCCGATATAATTTGGGTAACTAAAACTTTTGTTCAATTTGTTTTGTAAACATGTCTTGTAACAACAAGTTAATGTTGTATCTTAATAGTGATTACTCAATACGTATAACACACATGACTTACTTGATAGTGATTACTTTGACAAATTCAATAAAATTTTCCTAGAGAGAAATGGTTACGTTGACAATAATAAAGGGAAAATACTCAGAATATGTTGGAAATTTCTCATTTATTATCACTTGAAAATGCATTGTTAGTAAAAGGCTTCGTACAATTTACTTAGTATTAGCGAACTCTATGATAAAGTTCTAGAGATACATTAGACTCTAAACATAAAGATTAAATATTCAAATCTTATAGATCAACTCTTAATATTGTTTTTAAATTTTAGGATACAAAGGCACAAAACAAAAGACCTTTGTCGAATGTTATGTGAATCAAAAGTGCCAAGAATCATGAATCTTTGCCAACATATAATATTGATTGTTTTCCTCTTTAGTTTAGAAAAATAATTCCAACATTGTAACTTGTCTTGATATTGTTTTTCTTCATTGAATTTGACAAGAAACTTTACCATTTCCTTGTTCAGTAGTCTTTTTAATTTCTTTGGTGTTTTTTTTTTGTCTTACTTATTTATTTTGTTACATTGTGTTACTCTTTTACTATATTTATTCCTATTTTAGTCTTTTTAGTTTATGTTCCTTAAACCATAATTGTTTTGTTTGAAGTTGTCATAATATTCTTGAACTTCTATTTAGATTTGGAAAATCATTTCATCTTTCACTTAAATTTTGGTTACAAAGATTGATAATTCTTTAAAATGCTAACAAACTTTAAGAATTTGAGTGAAAATTTAATTGACCTTTTATTTCTTTTGCATTGTTGAGTAGTTGAAAGAATTCTTTTTGACATTTTTGAGATCTTAAACACCATTGTCAAGAATTATAAGAATTGTTTAATTGAAGTTTTGCTTTGATCTAACCATTCTTTTTGTTTAGTTGTTGTTTTTGTTAACCTTTTTATGAAGAAAAAAGGTTTAGCCAAGATAATTTATCTTGGTTTGTATCTAAGATACGTTCAAATTTTCAAAGGCTTAATATTGCTGAATTTTGTCAATTAAGTCCCTTCTTTTAAAAGTGTGTCAATTTGATCATCACTTGATAAATTTTGCGTCAATGTCATCCCTTCCGTTAAATACGCAAAAATGGCGTTAATTAGTTTTTCTCTCCTATGGTCTTCTGTAACACAACATATCTTTCTCTTTCTTTTGTTAGTGTTATCCTTTCATACTTTTGCAATACCAAAAAAAGTTGTCGTTCAAGACACTCATGCTAAATCATGGAGAGAAACATTCCTTCACATTTTTATCAATTTTCAACCTACCTTCATACTAGTACAAAAATCGCGTACAACTTCAAATATTTTGGGCTTTTAACGACAAAATCGCGAACGACGTCATACAACGTTGACGTCGAATTTTGTCGATATTTGATGTTAATCAATTTTTTTTATTAAATGTGATCCTTTTTTACAACTCTACGAAACTTGAAAAGCAGAAAACAATAAATTTCAGTTTTTGGTATTTTATAAAGCATGAATATGAACGTGTATTGTATTATCAACAACAACAAACAATAATAACTAACAACAAACAAGTTCAATCAAACAACAACAAACAAGTTCAACCAAACAACAACAAACAAGTTCAACAAAAAAAACAAACAAGTTCAACACATAAGTTCTTCAAAAGGAAAACGAAAACTAACCTTCAAAAGGTGGGTTCATCAGAATAAAGTTTCGTCACCAGTGAGTGAGAGAAAGCAAAGTGCGTATA